TTCCCGTAATATATTGATATTTTTTTAAAATTAAAGCACAGACATTTCATCTGTTTAATATTCAATGATCGAAAATCTTTTATTNACTATAGAACCCTAAAAATTTGTGTTTTTTTTTTTTTTTTTTTTTGAAAAAATATATTAACAGATAACAATTCAGATCAGCCATAAATACCTCTTTATAATCAATCAAAAAATTAATATTCATTTCTGCTTCTGGCAGAAATACTAGCGAATCCCGTCAATTAAAAAAAAACCTTTATGATGAATAATATCTATATGATAAATAATAATCAAGACCTATCTCTAATTTAATTTCTTAATTGGTCTAAAATTTTATTAAGATACCAGAACATGCACCAAATTAAAGTAAATTAAACAATAACACGCTAGATTCTCTCTTTTTTTATTATGTATAAGAAATTGCGCCTGATATGACAAAATTTCAAAGAAAAGAAGAAAAAGAAGTTGAAACTGATAACTATGCAATATCCATTGTGTCATACTAAGTTTATTTTTACATCTTAAGACTTGTTCATGATTTCAATATCAAATTTGAAAGCCACAATCGTAAATATAATTCATTTATTAAGTTTAATACAACGATAAAAAAAAGTTATAAAAATGGAAAAAAAACTGTTTCAATTTTTACGACATGTAACAAAGTTAAGCAGTTTTTGCACAAATTTGCTATTTTACGAATCAAAAGGGAAATAATTTACTGTTGGTTAATATAGAAACAACAAACTACATTTAATGATAGGATGACTTCTAGGTTTATTAAGCTTATTGGGTAATACTGAGTTTATTTTTACAACGTAATTATAATGCTCGATTTATGCTTAATTTCAGTTTTAAATTTGAAAGCCGCAATCGTAAATATAGTTCATTTAAGCGTAATACATCAATTAAAAAAAATTATAAATGTGAGGAATAAAAATTGTTTCAGTTGTCACAACTCAAAAAAAGTTATATGGTTTTTGTACAAATTAATTATTTTGCAAATCAAACGACAAATAACTTACTGTAAAGATGGAAACACCAGACTCCATTTTATGATATGATGACTTCTAAGTTTGTACATATTAAGTTCATGATGACCTACTAAGTTTATTTTCACACCTTAACACTTGTGTTTGATTTCAATGTCAAATTTGCAAGCCGCAATCGTAAATATAGCTCATTTAAGTTTAATACTACAATGAAAAAGAATATGTACAAACGGAAAAAACTGCTTCAATTTTCACAACTTAAAAAAAAAAGTAAAGTAGTTTTTGTACATATTTATCATTTTACGAATTAAACAGAAAATTTCTTACTGTTAAGATCGAAAACCTAGATTCCATTTTATGATATGAGGACTCCTAAGTTCTTTCATACTAAGTTTATTTTTACTTCTTAACACTTTTGCTTGTTTCCATTATTGACTTTAAAAACCGCAATCATATACATAGTTCATTTAAGTTTATGCAATTAAAAAAAATCATAAAAGCATAAGAACGTGCTTCAATTCTAAAAGTTTTTTAGTTTCTGTACAAATATATTATTTTACGAATCTAACGGATAATAACTTACAGTTAAGATGGAAACACCAGACTTCATTTTACGATACGATGACTTGTGAAACATTTCTTTTACAGACTGAAAACGATGATTTTAAAGAATTTCCGATATTTATGCATTTCCTATTTGATAAATTTATTCCATGTCTGGTCCACTCTGATTTTCTTGTATTATTCGTGAACTGAAACCGTGACTGTTGATTCTTTTGTGTTCTCTGCACCTTTAGAAGTGTCACAGAAAAAAAAAATTTTAAGATTATGCTTAACTACAAATTAACATCCATAAAGCATATTTCGGATCTCTTTGAACTACGTTCGGGTTGTTAACCTTCTCATGTATAAAGCGCATGCAAAGGAAAATCGAGTTGAACTAGTTGTGTGAAAATAGTAAAAAATGAACATGACTGAATTTTGCTTGAACATCTCTAATGATGTGAGAAAAACAAAGCCAATAATTTGTATTTTTCTCTGTTAGAATAAGACAGCAGAATAAAAATATAAACAACTAGGTACGAAAAATATTCAAAAAGGAACATAGATAAATTTGGAAGAATAATTTTGTTATTTTTAGGAAAAGAAACGGGAGATATTGTGGTCTTTTTTTCTTTTACAAATAAGAAAGGGGATAAATTTAGTTTCGTGCGCAAAATTTAAAATATACAGTGAGAAAAAATTCTGCCAAAACTAGAATACTTACTTGGCAAAGACAATTCTGATTGAAAAAAAACTATAATTCTTGTAATTAACACCAAACTCTACGGTATTTAAATGATTTAATCGGCAGTTTTTCATTTGTTTGCAGGATTTATCAGAAATTCTGGTTATAAAACTGTAGTGTTTATTAACAAATTTCGTAACACAATTCGTAAAAATATACATTTGATCATAGTACGCTAATTAATTGGGGAAGACAATTATGATTGAGAAAAACGAAAAATCTTATAATTAACACCAAATTTTACAGCATTTATATAATTTAATTGGCAGTTTTTTCATTTGTTGTAACAACATTTATCAGAAATTCTGGTTATAAAATTATATTGTTTTTTACCACACAATTCGTAAAAACATACGCATGATCATACTACGGTAAAGGCAATTTTGATTAAAAAAAGCGATAATTCTTGTAATTACCACCAAACTTTACGGTCTCTAAAAAATTTAATCTGAGGTTTTTTTCACTTGTTTTAGCTAAGTTTTACCGGAAATTCTGGTTTCAAAATTGCAGTGTTTATTACCGCAAAATTTCTGAAAATATAAACTTAATCATATTACTGTAAGGGCAATTTTGATGAAGAAATAACGATAATTTCTTGTAATTAACAGCAAACTTTACGAATTTAAATAATTTAATCGGCATTTTTTCCTCATTGGCAAACTGGGTCTTGATTTGGATTTGATGGCGTTCTCACACTTTTCAACTACATTAATCACGAGTAATAGTAGACAGCGTGCATGCTTCATCATTGCATGCGTTGCTATGGTGACCACTGCTGTTTGACTATTTTTTAAGAATTATTTTTTTCACTTTCAATTTCGTTATGCATTAAGTTGGTGAGTTTATTTTTGAGATATGGGACCAGAGAGATCACATAAATGCTTCCTGAGTTGCGAATAAAAGAGAATTTCATCATTTGAACGATATTTTTCTTTTTATTGTTTGAAAGAAGAATCAGAAATTCTAACCTACAGTTCAAACTGGATCGTTTTCAATACTAATTCAGGTGAATATCGCAAATAAAGAAGGTCCAAAACTGATTGACACAGTCCCAAAAGTTGGAGTTGAAGTAAAAAAAAAACGATGCCAATGCCTAAACTTACCGAGGCTGAAAAGAACCAAAGCCAAAGACCGTAGACGGGAATACCTTAAGCGTTACACACAAACGGAAAAACGAAAGGATTCCGTTCGCAAACGCAAGCATGAAGCCCGTCCCTCACAAAAGTACCAAAGCGGTTGAGAGAATTGAACCCTACCGAAGAGCGAATGGTGGCTCTCCGAACTCCTTTCATGCAAATACGAGAACAGGGTGATGATCACCAGTTAGGGATAAAAGGATCCATAGTCAACGTGCCCAATGACTTGCACAAGACCATTGTCTTCCGCACAATATAAATGATTCATTCACTATTCATGTAAAATTGAAAAAAAGCTAAGCTTTCAAATCATATATCATGTACAAACTTGTGAATCCGAAACGGGTGTATGATACAGCTTACAGTTTCCTTCAAACACTATTGTACCAATCCGAAAATGTTAATATTGATCTCGATTGGCTGTTCAATGTCTATTCAGTCATCAAAAGAATTTACACAGAATGAGTCTGAGTAGCATTCAATTATGTCTGCGAAATTGTGTACCGAGCAGTTCAGGATTAACAGTTAAAGATGTCTAAGATGAAAACACAATTAAGTTGCTTTTCAAAAAAATTTAGATAACAACCATTTTGCCATTAGGTAACCTGTGATCACCTTGTTATAATGTTACTGATTATGTTACTGATATAATTTTATGTTACTGATTTTCTAAGAATTATTCAGAGTAAAATTATCTGTAAAAGTTAACAATAGGGCACCCATTTTTTAATAATTAATCTTCTTTTGTTATAGAAAGGATTTATCAGAAATTCTGGTTACAAAATTGTAGTGTTTATTATCACAAAATATGTAAAATATACATTTAGTAAATAAAAAGGATGGTTTTAAATTAGTAAAATGCACCCCTTCATGTAAACCAAGCTTCAACAAAAATTGTTGAGCCTTGGTTAGGATGTTTACCCACAATATTTTACGAAAATTAGAGGATCAACTTATACAAAAGTAATACATAGAAGTACCTCTAAACTATCAATGTGGATAGTTTGTCATTTTTTCTAACCCGAAGATGTGGCATATCTAAATTAAAAAAATTTTCATCGTTAATATTTTTTCATAATCGCGTATTTGTATGTTTACAAAATAAATATCGTGCCCCAGTGTAGAAGTCGATTTTTTAAAATATTAATAAATTGTAAGCAATGAGATTGATATAAATAATTCTGTACCAATTTACCCCTTTCAAGAACTATTTTTAATAAGTCATATACTATTACAATCGCATTTTCTCTCTTTGTGGTTTTATTTACGAATAAAAATTTCATTTGGAATTTTAGAGTACGTTTGGGAACAGAAAAATTTGCAATAGGAAAATGTAAGATCATTTTTACAAGAGTATTTCAAGAAATATAATACAATGAAATCTTTTAATCTTTTTTTTTTACATATTTAATGATAATAGAAACTGAAGAGTAAATTTAACCGAATAAATGGGTTTTATACCCTACTCTAAGGTATCATGTTAAAATTACCAAAATTACCTCATTTACTACCTAACAGCATGGTGATAAAGCCATACTCTATTGTTACATGTACTAAAAGTTATTATTAATATTTCCTGGGTTTCCATAGAGCCAGATAACATGATAAATTTGACCATACCTTTTTCTCAGAGTACAAATGACAGCTTCAGTAAAATATGGTAAAAGTAAAAGACTGTTTAATGAACACATTCCCCACAAACATCGTCTAATTTTAAGACAAATATTAAAAAACATATTCCAATAGTTAACAAAATTTTACAGTGAATCAAAGACAAATTATCAAGTTTAAATGTTTATTAAATACACAATAAATAGTATACAGTGCTTAATTATACTCTACATCATTCTTGATCCTTAAATGCAAGACACAACAATTGTTATCCAGGAAAAATTTAATGAGGTAGTTAGAAATCATCAATTGAGGTAGTAATAGTTGCATAAACTGTTTAAACATTCCACGTCCAACACAAAGCAATTCTTTCCCAGACACAATCATTTAGCAAAGACCTATCTCAAGCAGTAAGATATTCAAATTCAGTTCTGAAAGATACCTGGCACTATTCAGACTTTCTTTCCTGAATAACCTGACCTGACGACAGCAGGGACAGAAACTGCTGGATTTCTTCGGTTGTTGAATGCTTCCTGCAGTCCTGGTGGCGATGGCTCGCCTGAAATGTGTACATCTGCTGGACCAGGACCACTGAGTCCAACACCAGGCTCATTTGTTTTGATCTGAGCTTTGAATCCGCCTTTGTTAGCTATGTATTCTACAGAACGGTACAAGCCGTTTGTATGTCTGTAACCGTAACTTCCGATTACGGTCCCAGTGTGGTCTCCTTGCTCTTGTCTGAATTGGGTGTTTCCCAGCTCGTCTGTTGTATGATAATTGAAAGAATACGGTTTGGGTGCAACCTTGAAAGAAAAAATACAAGAAAATTTACATACTATACACTGTTAGAAATATTTTAGAAAAAAATTGTTAAATGACAATTTATTTAACTGTTATTTCACCATATTCAAATAAAACTGTCAAATAACCATAAATAAGATGGTATTCAAATTGTTAACGTTGAAGAAAACCGTTTATTAACTTCTTTTACCTAATACGGTTAAGCAACCGGAATTTCATCGCAGCAACTAGGTTCACTAAGTGAAGCCTTTTTGTACCTTGCAGATGGGTACATATTATAGCCGGGGCTAATCTGTCAATCTCATAACCGACAGAAGAAACACAGTTCAAGTCATCAAAACCATCAAGCCATCGACATCAAAATATTTCTTCCATTTCCCTCAACACATGATGAATTTCCAGTGTCCTGTAATCCCCAATTTGTGACCCTGGGCTATTAAGCTACTTTCCTCTCATTCACGCATAGATGGCAGCACCCATAAAGCTTCTGAACTATCGCTAATGTCCCGTAAACCTTCTTTCTTACGGTTTTGCTGCCATGCTTGTTGTAAATGATTAAAAAACCGTAAAGGTAAATACTTTTATTTACCGTAAACTTTACGGTTAATTGGATGGATAGACCGCTGCTGGTTATTTTACTATTATTTTAGAATGAAAATTCTAACAGAGTGCATAACTTTGAAAAGAGCTGATTTTTTGCTGAAATTGATCTTAAAAATAAATCTAGAATTTATTGTTTTTATGAGAAAGAACACTTCCTTAAAACATTAAAAAAAGATTGCATAAATAAAGAAAATTAAAACTAAGATATCATACGTTTGCCTTTTTAGAGTGGGGGGATCGAGAAGTGATAAAAATGAAACAGGCATCTTTCACTATTTATTGTATGGGTAAGAGAGTATTTCACTTATAACAAGAAATATGAGGATGAATAAGATTAAAGTAACAGAAAGAAAAGTTGATATTTTTTATTTTTAAATAAAGTAAATTATTCATCTTAAGCTCTTTAATTGACATACTTCAATTTTCGAAGAACACCATAAAATTAATTTTCTCCTTAATTTTCGTCACGTAACTCATTAAATATTTGAATACGCATAGTTCAAAATATGTTACTAAGATATGGTGTGGAAAGGTAAATTCTTGTCTATACAAACTTATTTACACTTAATTTTATACATTCATATTCAGATACTTTATTATACGTACATTTTTACCCACATTTTACGCATGCATATTCTCTTCAAGCATAGATAAAGCACAGCAAAAAAATATTTAGAACTTAACAAAACGTAAAATTTATTTAAAAAAAAGTTTTTTTTTTTTTTTAAATTTGAAACAAATTTTTCTTTATTGAAAAATAATAAACCATTTTATTTCGTGATCAACTATATAACAATTGTAAAAGTAGTTATCAATATAGTAACTACTGTATATAGAAACTTATTCTGAACTTTGCGCTACTTACATAGTATATAGAAATGAATGTATGTAGAAACTACTATATATTCTGAATTTTACGTTACTTATATATAAACTAGTCAGTCGTCTTTGGCAACCGGCGTGGCTACCTTTCAAAATTATCTTCTACCACATATAAACAAACGGTAACCAAGCCGAATGCCACAACCCAACTGCATTTAAATATTCTAATTCTTCAACCCCTCCACTAATCCTGGCACCTAAATTAATTTTAAACTCTATATTAATAATTTTTTTCACCGTTTGGCTGTTACTACCTTTGAAGTAGTTAGATTTACAATTTTAACTATTTTTTAAAAGACATACATAATAATGTCAAAGTTTTTAATGTATTGAATTTTAGTAATGATTTAAAATTTATCCGACAGCCATTAAATCATATAAACCACCGGAAGTATAGTATTAGGATATTTAAACGAGGTAATCAGTAGAAGTATTAAAATTATTTTAGTCTATGTCGTAAGATAGGATAGAAAACTAAACCTAACTTATTATTATGTGCTTTACTACTTCCTTACGCACCTCTAGAGCCATAACTTGAGTATATTATAATATGCTATTGCGTGAAAAAGGCAAGTTCTATCGCCTGTAACTATGACAGAGACTATGCGGCCCTATTATGCTCAAAATGAGTACAACCATTTTAGAAAACATATACTTAACTTAAAACAATTAAACTATTCAACACTATTTAAATTATTACCTAAGTCAGCCTAACAAACTAAATTAAGACTATATTTTGGCCAATAGATAGAGAAATTTCCTAATTTATGGTGCCACATAAGATAGTCTAACTACAATACAATCACAATTACAAATAATCACAAGACTAATTATCTATCAATGACGTCATTTACGATTAAATTTAGAAATTTTTCTTATAGCTTTAAATTATTGATGACGCAGAAATTTTGGAAATGCTTACGTTTGTCGATGGATATTCTCCTATACTACTTGAGGGTCCACTTGTCTCACCAAGTCCAATTATTTCTCCAATGATTGAGGCTAAAACAACCTGAAAGTAGTTAATATGAGCAGTAAAAACATGGAGTAAAATATATCCTTTTACATACTGTAATTTAGGTTTTGCAAAATACATCTACTTAAAAGTAAAAGTAACAAGACTACACCGATACAAAAAGATTCATTCCGTTAAAATCTATAGCTTATGAAGTACGCTATTTTATTATTTATGCTAATTTATATAATTTTTAGTTTTCAGCTTAAAAAGCTACAGGCATGAAACTTTTATTATATATATAATAATGTCTGACTAACAATTCTAGAAACTAAGTTGTAATAATAGTTTAATTTTCTTCTATACACTCATTTAAAAGTTGTGATAAAATTAAATAAAAAAAAAACTAAGCTGTATTTTAAAAAATTTTTTTTATTTCCCCTTGTTAATTTCCTCTCGTTTTCCCCGTTCTCGTTAATTTATTTATATCCTAATCCTTTAATTTAATGATTTTAACAGAACTTACAATTTTTATACATATATATATTGATATAAAAGTATTTTGTAAACATATTTTAGAAATTATACATAGAATTCAATCCATTAATTTAAGCATAAAGGAATTTATTTAAATTTCATTATATTTGGTTGAATATTGTAAACATGTTTGTATTTATCAAAATATGTGCTGAGTTTGGTTGCATCTAACAATATTTTTGTTTGATTTCATTAAACAAACTGTGTATTAGTTTGTTGCTTTGCAGTAAACCCGTTTGCATTTAACTTTATGTTGAATTAAATGGTATTTGCTTAACCTTTTATTTGCCTATTTACTTAGTTTTTTGCTTAAAAAATAAAGACCGCTGTTAAATAATTCATAATTCCATTTATTCACTTTATACACGTCCCGCAATGGACTGATCGGTAAGACACGGTTCCCAGCAGATCACAGAAGTCAAACATCACTGGCTACGGTGAGTGTGAGGGTGGGTGACCACTTGGATCAGGTGTGCGGTATTGGTCCTCGTTAAACTGTGCTACCGTAAAGTGCTCGACTTCGCGCGCAGCTCGTCGGGCTAAGCCGGGGTGCCATCCCCTCCGCAGAGGATCAAAATTGTGAGGGTATATCTTCGGATCATCCTCAGGGATGTTTCCCAGACCGTCGCCAATAGCCCATTGTGCAGCTCTAGTGCGACGTAAATTAAAAACATAGCACACACATCACTTTATACACAATTGGGAATAAATTATGTTGAATATTAAGTATTTAACTTCATAATCTTCTATCAGTTAAATGAAATAAGCATTCCACATCAGAACTTAATATTAATCAAAATAAAATAATTATAATATTATTTCTCATCCTAATTTAATATTTGTTTAGTAAAATAAATACTCTTTGTAATAATTTACATTATCCTTTTCAGTATTTACATTAAAATATTAATTTAAATAAGTATTCTATGTCATAAATGACTCTTAATTTAATTAAATAAGCATTCTACATACTAAATGATTGTTAATTTATTATTTAAGTAGATTCTACTTCATAATAAACTATTAGTTAAATGAAGAAAATAATGTAATTATTTTGTTTCTTGTTTAACTTATAATTTATAAATTTCATTATAATTAATCTACTTATTTAATTGAGTTAAATTATTTCACTTCTATGTTCCTAAAGTTTCGCAGTAGTTTTAATTGAAAAGAATTTTCTAAGTTTCCATTATTAATTTAGCATATGGATGTTTTTTTCTATAATTGTATAGTTGTAATATCCTGCTAATATAAACTAACTATAACTATCTAAGTTAAGGTAAGTGGGGAGACAAAATGCTCCAAAAGACTACTTACGACGATGAACCACATTTTAGAGCTTTAGTTGCAAAGCAATTGCAGTTTCGTTAAACTGACAGTTCAAAATGATCTCTTACTTATGAGCTGCTCTGGTTATATTTAATCAAATTAAATGAACCAATTTGCGAAAACCTAAAAAAAAATGTAGACAACCCTCATTTTTTTAAACAATTTTACTTCGGCATTCAAATGTTTCTTTCGAATTTTTTTCTTAATGTTTTACGATAAAATCTTTAAGATCTAGATATGCCTTTGCTCTTTTCATACATTTATGCTTTTCAAGTTGACTTCAAATTCTTTAGGATATATGTTTTCATTTTTTTCTGTGTGCATAAGTAAACAATTTTCTCACAAGTAAACTAACAGATTCATCGATATCAGTTACAATGTAACACATTCATTTCGGTGTTCATTCTTTTACGAACTCAACAAAAGATCAACTTTCTTGTCTTTTGTTATTTAATAAATAGTTTTAACTAGTTCCATTGTTTGCGTTAATCGAAGGGGTTTCTGGGACGTGGAAGAATCTCAGTAGAATAGGAAGTTGTTCTGCTAGACCCAGACGGAAAGTGAAAAAAAAAATCTATCCCGTGTTGAATTTCAAACAGAAAAAGAAAAATAGAAGCCTTTAATTCGTCTTTCCGGAAACTCTTTGTTCAGACGCAAAACAATAACGAAATGAAATAACCAGTTTATGAATAAGTCAAACACCAATGGTTGCTTAGAAAGTCTAAAATATATAATTATTGATGATTTTAAGGCGCTTCTACGGGAACCATTAATCTCAACGTATGAGCGATTCTCGAAGGGACGAAATTAAGAAGAAATAAAAAACAGCCTTCAAGAATAAATTACTATTTTATTCATATGTCTTTTTTTTCCTCCGTAAAGAATAGTTCAATCAAAATATAATTTACTGTTCTTAGAAAAGGCGCTACACAAATTTTATATTACAGGGTAGGGTACAGATGTGTGTGAATGCTTAAGGTTCATTTTTCGATTCCATGACCTTGCAAAGAAGTGAAATCATTGAAAAAAGCAAAAGGAAAAACTATTTAATTAAAAGAAAAAATATCACTGGGAAAATGTGTGTTTATAAAAATCTAAATCCATACTTCAAATTCATTTCGATATACTACATGCATATGGAAAAAAATTAATTTATTTCCAAAAAAATATTTCTTTTTTTTAGAAAGAATGTTTTGATTTTATCAGTGATGTATCGTTTATGGTCTCAAGTGTCATCATTTAGTATAAATTTGCTTTTTACTACTTTTTAATTATTTTATTAATTATCTTCTTCTAATTATTAATTACTTATAATTATTAATCATCCTATTTTTTTTTATTAATAATCTTTTTTTTTATTTTTATTAATCACGTATAAATAATAAAATCGAAAAGTAGTCTCGATTCATAAGCTTAAAGTCAAAAATTATTTTAAAAAATTAAACTATAAAACATTTATTCGAACTATTTTGTTTTATGGAAGTAGATGTTAGACAATAATCAATTTACATGAAAATAAATTATGGACCTTTAATCGAAATCGATCACTTGAACTAAAATTATAAGAAAAATATTTTGCGTAGTCTATGAGAATAATAGCTGCAGTAATAGCTCTTTAAACTTGTAAATTTATGAGAAGTACAAGCAACCTTATTTTGTGAAAGAAATAAAACGCTATTGACTACTATGGTTCGGACGTCTGATCTGATCTGATATTGCCAACCCAAGACCTTTTACGAATCTAATAGGAAACACAAAGTGAGGAAGACACCGCCAACTAGGTAGCTTGACTCCATGGACGAAGACTTTAATATCATAAATAATAGAAACTGGAAGAGTTTCGCTGTGGATTGAACCAGATAGCGAAACCAATTTGGTACTTCCTTGGCCTGCATCTGACTGTAACGCCTTGAAAGAAGAAGAAATTCCTAAAATTCCGTTGTTATATTTATTAGAAAATCGCTTTATACTTCATAAAATATTTTTTCAACTGTCAACTGTTAAAAATTTTATTCTCATAAAAAAGTAACTGTAATATTACAAATTCAGGGTCCATACCCATTCTTTCAGTCCTCCTTAGCTGAACACCAGGCACTCTTATTTCTTTGACCCCTTTCTACGTACCATTGGTGGTAAATAGGTCTCTACTACCTTTTAATAATGTTAATGCTAATTGGAATGATAAAACCCTACAAAAATTTTATAGAAGGAACATTTTTATCGTAACTTTTTTTTTCTTTATAAACAAAAAACATGGAAGTAAAGTTTCATAATGACATGTTTTCTCTTATAATCACTTACAATAAATTCATCAGCATATCTAATAAAATATTGCTGGTAATATGTTTGTTATTGTCGTTATTATATTTCTATTACTTAATATAAGTAATAAAAACTCTACAATGTTTTTTAAAGAAATGACCGCTTACCACATCCTACCACTTTAAGCAGCCTAAACTGGAATTCCTCATAGCATGGGCGAGATCTATCTATAAGAATTATAAGTTGGAACCGATGGCAAATAACCTGATTAATTTTCTAGCGAGGAAATCCTGAAATAATTTTCATGAGAAAATGACACAATTGTGAAATGGGGAACCCCAAGCGCTGGTAATTTTGACCAAATAACTCTAGATGCTTTCTAATCATAATGCCTTAACTAATAGAAAAATCTATTTTTTTTAGTTTTGATATTACTTTTTTTAGTTTTGTGCTTGTTTAGTTTTTTTTTTTCATTTTGTTTTTGTTGCTATTTGCTAGTTTTTCTTTCTATCTGGCATAAGCACGGGATTAAATGTTGGTGTGTGCTTTGTATAATATATTCGATACATTGAGAAAAATTTACATTTCTTAACCCTTTCAATACGGCGAAAAATCAGCAGGAGTGAAAGCGNAACTTTTTTTAATTTAGTAAATTAAAAGAAATTTAAAAAAGATAAATTACACAGCATGTCAGAAAATTTTAAAAGCTTCACATTTTCATCCGAAAATTTTGAATTAAAAAAAAATATTAAGTTTCTCTAAAGAAATTGCTCACTTCAGCACAAACTACAGTACTAATGGAACTTTTTAAATCAAAAATCAAAACATCGAAGCAAAAAAAAACATAGTTTTGAGTTATTTGCATTTAAAGCGTAAATATATGACTACCAATGATATTTGAAATTTAAATTCAAAAATCATATTGTTTCTAAGTCATAAATCTCGTACTGCTTACATTTCAAACAAATTACTCTTAAATGTTTCTTTTATTTGATTGAAAAATAGGTTTTTATACTATACTCTCCTCACTTTTCGAGTGAATAAAAAGCCCTTAAAATGATCAAACTGAATGTGATAATTATAAAATTGTATAATTCATAAATCACCCATAAATTTTATTCATGAAAATTGAATATTCAAGTCTTTACCAAGATGTTTTGTTTAAATTTAAATGAGTTAAAAGTATTTTTGTTAAAAAAAATAACAATATTACAAAAGAAATCTAAGAAAATGCATATTTCAAGATAAACCCAAAAATAATTAACAAAGAACTGTAAATAAGAATTTACTTCAAAATTAGAAATATTATGTAAAGAACATTTAAACAAAAAATCAAAATGATGTAACTAGAAATTAGGGAGAAAAAAAAATCCGGTCCAAGGTAAATTCGAATAATGTAAACGAAATTCCTAATCTATGCCGGTAATGACAGCTTCAAAACAATCCTGGTCCATAAGCAATGTTTTTTTTTGCATTTCAGTACTTTATTTTCTTCTCTTTTACGTAAGTAAACAAAAACGTAATGAAGAATAAAAAAAAACGTAAAAATAATGACCTAATAACAGTATAATAAAAGAACAAAACAAAAATAGACTAACAAATCAAACTAATGTAAATCTCAGTTTTATATTCAAAATTCTCGAAAATCGCATGGAAATAAAGAACAAACAAATTATCCAGTTAAAGTTACAATCAACTAAAGATATTGTAAAGTTGAAATTATAAATAATTTCTTAATGGCTTGGCACATGCAAAAAATAATGGATATTATAATGTTTACGAAATCATCTGTCAAAAGTGGGCGTGGCATGGGTGTTTTCGGTTTGTTTACATTTTTTAAATTAAGTTTAAGTGCACTTCTACGTGGATTTCAAACAAAAGCAATATATCGTTAGAAAGCTAATAGTTTCTAGTTTAATTATTGATAAAAATCTCAAATTCGATTTTTTGAAGGTTTTTAGGTACTGAACCCCCTTAAGCAGCCAAAACTGGAATTCCTCATAGCATGGGCGAGATCTATCAATAAGAATTATAAGTTGGAACCGATGGCAAATAACCTGATTAATTTTCTAGCGAGGAAATCCTGAAATAATTTTCATGAGAAAATGACACAATTATGAAATGGGGAACCCCAACCACTGGTAAACTTGACCAAATAACTCTAAATGCTTTCTAATCATAATGCCTTAACTAATAGAAAAATCGATTTTTTTTTTAGTTTTGGTATTACTTTTTTTTTAGTTTTGTACTTGTTTAGTTTTTTTTTTCATTTTGTTTTTGTTGCTATTTGCTAGTTTTTCTTTCTTTCTGTCTTGTCTTCCAACCTTCACCATTTACCGATAAATGTCTTTTTATTGGCATAAGCACGGGATTAAATGTTGGTGTGTGTTTTGTATAATATATTCGATACATTGAGAAAAATTTACATTTCTTAACCCTTTCAATACGGCGAAAAATCAGCAGGAGTGAAAGCGAGACGGAAAAGAGGAAAGGCTGGTAGTAAAACCATTTCAGTTACAGCTAGTTTTGGAGAGGAGTTTACTTATTCTTTTTTTAAATTTTTCAACAATATCAACTTTACCTTGGAAAAGAAGCAGTTTTATATATATGCCAGAATCATAAAAGAAATCTTGATAGTTACAGATATTTCATTTTTTTCGAAAAAAATGCTGGAATGAAATGTTTTACGTACCAGGTATTTCTCTTTTCCGTCTTGCTATATAAGGGCCTTCACCCATGGACTGAGACAGCACATGTCCCGTCCGGTGCGAAAGGGTTAAAATAATTTTTTCCTTAATTTTTTCTA